ATATTTGTGATTGGGCAGTAGTGGTCAGAACTCATGGCCCAGAGAGGGCCCCTTCTCACTTAGGAGTCAATGGCCCTGTCCATCTCCCCATTCCATGTGAGACCAGAGCCATTAGATGAGTACCAGCACTGCAACTAGAATGCTACCCCACCTCACCCCCAGAACATTCGGGAATCCCTCAAATTCCATAGGTCACTCAATGTCCTTGAGTTTAATTTGGACCTCATTCACCTGGGTTAGCAGTTTCAAACTCAAACATCAAATCAAATATAATTTATTTACAGTAGACAGGCTACAAGTACAGTATAAAAGTTACAGAATATAGAAGGTTAAGGGGAAGGGCGCAAAAAGCAATAATAGCTTGTCAAAGGTCACATCCGCACCATATATTTCAAATGATATGATACCACTTTAAATACCCATGGGTTCTGGGAGCTGTAGTTTGTCAAGGGTGCAGAGAGACACCTATTAGGAGGCCCCTATTATATAAATAGGGACAGTTGTACTGAGGGAAATAATTCCAGAGCTGGGGCACCAACACAGAGAAGGCCCCTTCTCTTTTCACCATCCATCAGACCTTTAATAGCATAGAGACCTGGGAAAGGGCAGGCTCCTGGGGCAGATGGTCCTTGAAGTATCTGTTGGAAGTGCAACAGCAGCAATCGTTCAGTTTGTAACTTAGTAGTAAATTATTTTACTGTTACAGTCTCTTAAAGCCAAGAGGTGGGTGGGTGGAGGTGTCACATAGCAACCAGGCAGAGTGGCATGATCTTCCCTGTGGTGGCATGCATTCTGATTGGCTATGTAGTTCTGAGGGAGTTTTTAATTTGTGTGTTTGGCTGAATGTCTCCTTGCTATGTACAAGGCCTGAACTAAGAAAGACAAAACCTCTCTGTTCCTTTCTCTTCATATTACACACTGTCTCTGTTCACTTTGCTCAGTAAAGTGTTATCTGGACTTTTCTTTCTGGAACTGCATTTGGGTTATTTAAGTGACTTTGCTTACAATATCTGGGTCCAATGTGTTAGTACAGAAGACAGGTACATTGCAATGCTGCAAGATGCAATTTTTTAAAAAGGTGGGCAGGTAATGGCAAAACCAGGTCTAAAATGTTATGGGAGGGCCCTGTGTAAACGGAGCCCCCCCCCCCCCGGATGCCCAATAACTCTCTGCACCACACATGGGGGTCTTGGTTGATGCAGCTGCCTTACTTGTGAAAGGGAGAGGCAGAAGTGGAAAAATAAGTGGGGGTTCTCAACAAAAAAATAAATCACAGTGGAAACTGCTCCTTGAGGATAAGCAGTTTGAAAACAAGTCCCAGGCAATTAGATTTTGTTTGTGTATAACTTTCAGTTTTAATAATTGTGCAGCGAATAGAGAATGTTATTGCCTTCAGCTGACAAACAATGGCCGGAAGTATTATGTACTGTGCAATCATATGCCTGCCTGCTTTGAAGTAAACTCTGCTATCTTCAATGGGGCTTGTTGTCAGGTAATGATATATAGGATTGCTGCCTTAGGGTAGCTTCATCCAAGACAATTTCCTGCATGAATTATCATTCCTATGTAAGAAAACCACTTGTGCACCATAATGTGTGCATTCCTACCAATGTTTCATTGTACTGCATTACAAAATAGATTTCCAGGTACCCAGGAACAGCTACAGGCAAGATTCCTGTATTAAAGGGGGTTGGACTAGATGACCCTCGGGGTCACTTCCAACTCTACAATTCTACGATTCTATTCTATGTATGAGGCTGTACACACAGTTGCTTCTTGTTTGTTGCATAGAATCTTACTCTTACTGCTGCTTCATGACTGGTAAAAAAATGTTACCTGTAGGTATGCAGTTATCAGTTTTATAACACAATTTAAAACAGATTACGTGAGTATTTTAAAAAATATAACTGGGAAAATTCACAGCAGAAATGCACTTCAACAGACAAAGGGATGATTTGCTGAACCAATTTAATGTCTGAGCTGTCAGTATTTTGCTGTACTGATTCAAGTAGATCATTTAAAGTAAATAGGTGCTGTTTTGCGCCAGGACATGCAAATCTACTTTATTTCTTCTTTGAGAAAAGGATTTTGGTTTGGAAACTGACAGGGAAATTCACAGTAAAACGTTGGATGATTGAATGTCTAACATGAAGATGCTTAAAGACACCTCAAGTGAATTAGGATGGATGCCAGACAAATTCTCATTGTCATGTAACCATCCCACAAGCAAATCACAATGAATGCTTGATAAAGACCAGATATAATCTAGCCTCTGAGGAAGCTTTGTGCAAGCAGTCAGAATGAATACCCAATAAATAGCTAGTTTGTAAGGGCTCCTGAAGTAGATTCAACACACAAGCCACATATTTAAGACACAAGAAATGTAATCTAGAAACATACACCTTTTAAATAAGTGGGAATTTTTGTTCCATTCATTTCATAAAAATGTACCAGGCAAAGCCAATAAGGTGCAGCGGTCACTTAAAACTTAATTCCTGGTGCCCAAATTTTGGGGTTTTCTAGTTAAGTGTGAACCCCATGTTTGATGTATCAATTGCTCAGTTTGTGGGGTGCTACAAGACGCAAGGTTTTCGCTGCAAAAAACCTGCTAAACTTTGGTACAGGTTTGGAAAGGATCCCAAATTTAGGGGTTCGTAGTTAAACTATGGGCCTAAACACACTTACCCCCAGGTAAGTAAGTAAAACCTATTGAGCTTAGTGGGATTTGGATCTGAGCAACCTTGTGTGGGATTGTACTGTGCCATTGCATCTCCTTCTGGTAAGACATAAAAGCTGACTCTCCAAACATGATTGCTGGCTTTGTCTGCTGTGTTCTTTCTGGGTTTTAACTGAATGTTGGTGAGCATTGCCTCCCAATCGTAACAATTTAGGTAGGTGGAAAAGGAAAGCACTGTTCTCCTGGGACTGCAGACTGGAAGGGCAGCACTCTCTGAAGAGCCTCTTGGCCCTGGGTAGAGAAGGAACAACTGCAGAGAGCTTGCTTTGTGCCTCTCTGTCAGGAAAAGCACTTTAAAAAATATTACTGTATATCCAGGGCTTTTGTTCCCTCAGCCAGAACTCACTGGAACTTAGTTCTGGCACCTCTCAAGTGGGCACCATTGCCATTCTAAAAGAATAAGGGAGGCATTCATGGTGAGTTCTGCTTTTTCTAGAAAAATAGCACGTATTGTACCTGAGAACTGGTGTCTGAGTTTGCCTTTTTTCCCATCTCCAGTCCAACCTCTTTTCTTTTTGTGTTGTGTCTTTTAGATTATAAACCTGAGGGGCAGGGACTATGGTAGCTTACTACAGATTGATGAAAGCTGCTTCGGAGACTTGGTTCTCCCCCCACACCTGAAGGGCCGAGAATTAATGAATGAATAGTATATAAACAACTTTTGATGGATTATTTGTTCTCCCTTTAGCATCCTGGATTATGAGTACTCTGGTAGACAAAAGGGAGCACAGGTAGTACTTTTTTTAAAGTTAGGTTTGTTTCTCTATGTCTACATAGCACTACAGTATGATTGCATCTTACACATTTTTAATTTGTGTGGTTTCAAGCTTGTGTGGTCCAAGTCTGGCTGGTTGAAATTGAGCAAATTAAATGTATGCAAGGTTTTCCTGGCACAAAAAGAACTTTTGAGCTCTCTGCCAGGGATGGTGCTGGGAGATCTCATGGGGACTTGGATGGCTCCATGATATCTCGTGAGAACATATCAGAGCTGGGGGGGGCCCAGAGTTGATGGGCATTATCATTCAAATGGTGTGCATGCACCGCATCTTGTGATCAATTATGTGGGGCAGAGCTTACCAATATTTTATTCAAGTTGGCACCCCTGAAACCATGGCAACTGTCTGAACAACCCTAACCACAGAGTTTCAGGAAGGGGGGGGTACTTACTTTATAGACTTTTGCTTTAGAACTAGGTTTCCTGATCGCTCTGAGCTAGTAATGTTGACTGTTGGGAGGAACATGTTCTGGAAATGGACATTTTATTTTCACAATCTAGTCACAAGAACTCTTTGTTATCAAACCTTGCTCAGTTTGTACAGAGTTACAATCGTGCCTCATCTGGTCATCTGGCTGCCTGCTGATTGAAAAATGTAATTGAAAGCAAAAGACTAAGTAAATAACCCTTCATTTTACACTGTACTGAAGAAGAACACGGAATGCAGGAAGAAAAGAAAACAGAGGTGAACTTATGGTGCCAGAAGCCAGCTTGTTCCCTGTTTAGGACACTGTTCCAAGCTCATCTCCGAATATGTCAGGAGACCTGTTATCAAGGCAATTTGCATAGTCGCTTTCTATTGTACAGAAAAGAAAAAATCAAATCTATCAGCATAATGTTAATGTTTTCCCCTGATATCATTTACAGGTTCTGCAGGACAATCCAGCTGGGAAGAGAATTATAAAGAAGGGAGGGGAAAATACACATTTTAGAAGAATTGTGCTCCAAAAAATTGACAAAGCAAATAGGAGGGTAAAGTGCTTTGGAAAAAGGAAGAGGGGAGAACAAAACACTGTAGGGCTCTCTCAGAAGTTGGAAGACTGAATGCCTCAATAACGGGTAGCACAAAACGACTCAAGATGACCAATTAAAGCTGCACACCTGATCTTTCTCCATGATTTGTGTGTGCTCTGCCGTATGCCATTTTTCTTTATTTTTGTGCACATATGTGCTGCCCTTCAGCATGCAAAAGAAAAATGAGCACACCAGATTTTCCCAGCTCCACTTTTACTGTCCACATTTTTTGTCAAATGACACACTAGTGTGCTACAAAACAGTGTGCTACAAAACATATTTAATGCACCTCAAGACTTCTTTCTACTTGGATATTTAAATGCTGCCTTTGTCCTGACAGCTGCTCCCAACCTGAGTTGGCTAAAAAGCTTCTCTCTCTCTCTCTCTCTCTCTCTCTCTCTCTCTCTCTCTCTCTCTCTGCTATTTAGTCCCACTTGCTGGAACAAACGCCCCCTGCTAACTTAGCCTGTCTCCATGCAAGGCTCCAGCTGGCTGGAAGACCACCTCTCTCACATGCTCCTCTTCCCTCTATCCCATTCCCCTCACTTCCCATGTCCTCCTCAGGAGCCCAAATGCAATTTTTCTCTGGCCAAGTTTATGTTACACTACCAAGCCAAGAATGGCACACCCTTCAACTGGACAGAGAGCCAGATCATTGAGTGGGAGAAGTTTGCTGAGATGGCTAAATACGAGCCGGAGTCACAGAAGCTCACCATGAAAGCTCTCCTCATTGTGGCCTACACAGTCATCATCATCGTATCTCTCTTTGGTAACTTGCTGGTGTGCCATGTGGTGATGATGAAGAAGAGGAGGAGGAGGAGGAGGAGGAGGATGCATTCGGCCACCAGCCTCTTCATTGCCAACCTGGCCATGTCCGATATCATGATCACCTTGCTCAACACACCTTTCTCTTTGGTAAGTCCTTCGCCAAACTGCCATGCCCCCAGACCAGAAAGGAAGGAGGTCACTGCCTGGATTAAGTCATTGCCTTGCATTTGGTGTGCTAGACAGACACCCAGGGCCTTGTTCACACCATACATTTAAAGCACTGTGATCCCACTTTAAATGTTCATGGGAGAGCTAGAGGAGGTCAGCAAATCAATCTGCCCACCCCTGCCTGGCCGGACTGCTGACCTTGAGGCTCATATTTCATTAAATTGGAAATATTAGTTTATGTTGCAGTGATTTTGCTTGTTTGCCTTATGATAGAATTGTTTGGTTATTTATTGGTCCTGTTTATATGATTTTGTAATTTTGGTGGCTATTTTTCTATGTTTATTTTTATAAACTTTGCTCCCCTTTCTGAGATTGAAAACATGCAATGACAAGTGGACTATAAATACTGTAATCTTTTAAATTAATAAATAAATGGCTCTCCCAAAGAATTCTGGGAGCTGTAGTTTGTTAAAGGTGCTGAGAGTTCTTAGGAGAGTCCTATTCCACTCCCATTGCCACCTGGCAAGCAAACAGTCAGATCAAGTAAAAAATTGACAGAAGTCCCTATTTTAATCTTTGCGAACTTTCACAAATGGACAGAGGTCCTCCTGACCCCATGTGCCGATGGAAACCCCATGTGCTTGACTGTACCAAGTGAATCCTAGTTGTTAGCCACAAATCTTCTGCTGGCCCCATTATTCTTGCCAGTCTCTTCCGCAGGTTCGGTTCGTGAACGGCACATGGGTCTTTGGGGAAAGCATGTGCCATGTCAGCCGCTTTGCGCAGTATTGCTCTCTCCACGTCTCCACCCTGACCCTGACAGCTATAGCCCTGGACCGGCATCAGGTATGAAACCCCACCCCATCCCCCACCTCCCCCTGCAAAAGGTATCCTGAAACCAGGGGTGCCAACTTGAATAAAATATGGGGGGAGGAGGTATAATTGATCCCTGTCAATTATCCCTGTCCTGCATAATTGATCACAAGGTGTAGCACATGCACACCATTTGAATGGCACTACTCATCAACTTTGGGGAACCCTGGCCCCCTCAAATATTTTATTGGGGAGTGGCTGAAGGGACCTTGGGCCCTAGAGGTTGGCTCCTATGCCTGAAACCAACACTATTTTGCCTTTAGTCTTGACTACACAAAGTTGTGGAGTGGGCAGTGGGAGAAAGGGTGCCCTAAGGACACAAGGAAATTGAAATTGCCCACCATAATAAACAGCCAGTGTATGTATGTATTTGTTAGGAGTGGTCACTTGGGTGTATAAGCAGCTTCTTATACGAAGTCAGGACATTGGTGTGTCTAGTTCAATACTGTCTACACTGACTGCCCGTGGCTTCCTAGGGTTTCAGACAGGAATCTCTCCCGGCACTAAGTGGAGATGCCATTGGAGATTCTACCTGGGACCTCCCTGCATGCAGCAAAGCAGGTGCTCTATCACTGAGCTATGGCCCTTTCCCATAATGGTCAGAGAAGGGTGCTGCAGCTCATCCATCCAATCTGATCAGGTGAAAAACAGCCTGGGCAGTGGTTATTTTGCACACGTTCAATTATTGCTTGACCACTGACATGCGGGTCATTTGGACCTGGAAGAGGGCGGGGCATAACAGGGCATGACGGGGTGGGGTGGGCTTGGCTTATGCATGCTCTGCCAACGCGCATGAATGCCCAGAACACATCCCCTGTGCAAAATGGGGGTTGCCTGTATTACAGAGAAAAGCCTTTTTAAAACCAATAAAGCCAACTGTCATGGTATATAAGTAACTTTATTTCAGAGGGGGAAAGGAATGCAACAAATCACACAGAAAGAGACTTCCAAATAACATTTTTAAAGGCAATCTAATTTAGCTAATTACATTTTGCCTATTTGAGTGTTGTCTTGGGTGTCAGAAAACATGCAGAGCTCCTGGAAAGAAGGCAGCCTGGGAAAGTGTTAGTCCCTTGCAGAATATCTCTGGTTTTCATGGTTCCAAAGGAGACAAAGGACTAAAGGATATGTCACACATTTATTATAGTTTGGGACCAGAAAAAGGCGCCTGCCTTGACTGTAGTTTGAACCAATGGTGAAATAAGCTCCATCTCTCATGTAAGTGGTTAGGTATCAATCAGAAGCGGTGTCTGGGATGTTAGGGGAGGGGTGGTACCTCTGGTGGATGACATGTTGTGCATTTTCTGAGGTAGTTTGTCCACCTTTGGTCCCCACCCTGCACTCAGCTCTCACCTGTGGGTCCTAGAAGCTGTCAGCATAGGACAATGGCTACACCCCAGGAACAGCTTTGACTGGCAAGCTAAACCAGGTGAGGGGCAGCCAATGGGTCTCAAATCCTTGATGAGTTGGGGACTTCCCCTGCATGTGAAAACAGGCTGTTGTGGACTGAGTGGACCCAATAGACCTCAAGAAGGCAGTTTCTGCATGTGTTGTAGATGGAAGTGAGGGGCAGATGGGACTCATCTACCTGAGAAGGTAGTGCATCCAGGGGAAGGAAAACTCTGACCCTAAACCTCTGCTGGACCCAACACAAATCCGGAGTGCAGTCCCTAAGACAGTTGGACAGCGCCTTGTACGCCTCCTTTCAGCAACTCCTGGGGTGCCAAACATATTGCTCTGATTTCCTTTGGACCGCATCAATGACACCAAGGGGGACGGGTCTTGTCATCTAGGCAGCCCAGGACCTCCATGCACAGTGCCTAGACTTGCACCCCAGGGAGGTCACTTTGGTGTTGCTAACACAGCAGTTTGACTTCACCCCCAAAGGTACACTGCATTGTCTCTCAAGGCAGATATATGCCAACAACCACTAATCAGAATGTGCATAGAGGATGGTTCGGCTTCCTAATGGTGTTGAACTTCCATTACGAAAGAACTAGTCAATTCAGACCAGTTTGCTATTATAGGAAAGAAAGGATTAAATGAAATGAAACCAAGGATATTGTTTCCATGCAGCGTTCTTAGCTCTAGATGGCACTATTGGTCTATATTAGAATAAAGAGGTTCAGCTCTCACATATATTCATGTACAATAACTGACCGTTGTTTTGCACTTCTTGATAAGTGTCCTGCAGCAAAATTACATGGTTTATCAAGTATCTGGTAGATTGTTTACATGGGCTCCATGATTATTAAGGATTCATGGAGTTGGAAAGGACCTAGGAGATCATCAAGTCCACCTCCCTCCCGCATCAGTGCAGAATCTGCAATGCAGGATAGACTGATAGGCATTTTGTCACATAGTGGGTGTTGTTTAACTCCTGGAGAATATACTCACAGAAAGATGAAACAGTTTAAAAAAAAAGTTGGAACTAAAGGTTGGAGTGTGTCTTAGGAGCTTCTTTCATTAACTGAGGTACTGTGTTCATCAGTAAGCTAACAATGTGTATTATAATATCAGCTCAGTAGGGAAAATGATTAATAGAACATTGTGATACCAAAAGAAGGTAGAAAGAAATTGCAGGCTTAGGAAGTGAATACTGAAATATTCCCCTGGGTGTTCAGAGAAAGTGTTCTATTATTATTGAGGCCATCTCCCTAATAAGTCAAGCACTGGCAGCATTAAAAGCACCAGGTTGTCATGTGCTGGTAGCAGTGAGGTAAGCTTTGCAGATTGTTTGCAGCAGGGATGGCTACCTTTCTTCAGCTTAATATTAGCCACTCCTCTGAGAGTTACATGGCGTTTGCCACACAAACCCACACGGGCAGACCACTAGGAACACAGCACTCCCTTTTATGTGCTGAGCATTAACTGGAAACCACGGACTTGCAGGTAACTCTGCTGCCTTTCTTCAGCCAAGTCTGTGCATCTCCCATGGACTGCAAACTTCAGCCAACAGCTTTCCATTAGCAAGAAGCTGATAATGGTGGTTGCTTATGCCAATATTCTTGCATGATCACCCAGCCCTTTTATGTCTAATGCAGTAAGAAGAGGCAGGACTTCAGAACTCAAAGCACTGTCTCTGATTCAAAATTTGCACCAACATGATAATGAAGGTCAAGAGCCTCCATTGTCAAGACTGATTGGATGAGTGGGTCTGAATTGCATCTCCCATGGCTGCCTGCACTGGTTACAGAGATGTGGGTTAAATCTCTCCAACCACATAAGTGCAGTGATGGGGTTAAACAGCGCCACGCTCTGCTTGGTAGTGGGAGTGGAAAGTGGGAGGTTTTTAAAACATCTGCACTATATATTAAAGCAGTATCATGACCGTTTAGACCAGTGGTTCCCAAAATGGGCAATACTGCCCCCTAGAGGGCAGTGGGAGTACCTAGGGGACGCTAAGAGGCAAGGGGACAGCAGTGGTTGTGGGAGGTGCAAATGACTATCGGACTTTGAAAAACTGGTACCACTGGATCAAGTCCATCACTAACTTAGATGCAGCCATGGTCGCCAACTTAGAATTGTAGAGTTGGAAGGGACCCTGAGGATCATCTAGTCCAACACACTGCAATGCAGGAATATGCATGTGTTTCATTTGGAACCCGCAATCATGGTGTTATCAGCACCATGCTCTTACCAACTGAACTATCCACATCAGCTTTGTTGAATTAATTAAACTAAATAGTTTTAATTGGCTTTTGAATAAATGTGCAATTAATTGGTACTGTTTTGATCTTTATGCTGTTCCTATCTTCCTTAGTGGGCTGTGCAAACCACTATTCTGAAAAATGCCCTTTGTAGGGTAGTGTAGGGAGCACTGGGGTGAGTTTCTGGAATGAGGGGGTGGCCCAAAAAAAGGAGTCACTGCTTTTGGCAGTCATGGTTTTCCCCGAAGAATCATGGGAAGTGGTTTGTCAAGGGTGCTGAGAGTTCTTAGGAGGCCCCTTTATTCCTATCGCAAAGCTGCAATCCCCAGAGTTCCCTGGGAAGACAGACTGGTTGTTAACTGCTTTGGGAAATGTAGTTGTGGGGGGGGGGAGGTGGTCTCCAAACAACTGTGAGAACCCTTAACAAACTACAGTTCCCAGCATTCTTTGGGGGGAGCTGTGGCCATTTAAAATGGGGTCACAGTGCTTTAAATGCATGGTGCAGGTAGTGCCCAACATGGCAATTACATTTATGGGGAGCTTTTTATGGGTATGGGTATGGGTATGGCTTGCACTTTACCCACCCCTGGTCGGCAGAGATGAGAATCACTGTGAGGCATCCTTTCTTCCAGGTCATCCTCAACCCACTCAAGCCAAGGATGTCACTGACCAAAGGAGCACTGGCCATTTCCAGCATCTGGATAATGGCAGCCTGCTTTTCATTACCCCATGCTATCTACCAAAAGCTCGTCATTTATAATTATAGGTGAGTCTTTTAAGCTACCCTTTTCTTTTCTCCCCTGTCAAACTATGTGTTACTTTAAAAAATAAAAAAATGAAAAGCAAGCTTCACCTCCTACCAAAGATGGCCACAGGAGTGGATTTCCTACATTGGCAGGAGGCTGGACTAGGCAACTTCCATTCTGTAGGTGGAATACAGGAAGGTGTGTTATACTGAGTCAGGCCATGCACCCATCCACCTGAATACTGCCTACACCAGTGATTCCCAAAGTAGGTGGCAATGTCCCCTGGGAGGTGGAGAGTTGCTAAGAGGCAAAGAGGCAGCAGGGGGTCTGGAGGTGGGCACCTCTGAGTGCGCTGATCGCTTTTTTACAGTTAGTCAGACTCCAGCCTAAAGCAGCACACCTTCCTCGCTTCATATTTTAAGTGTTACTGCTTTTACGGATTTCAAAGTCATTTCCTTTGGTCATTTGCATTTATGATTCTGAGTTGCTGCAAGTCACAAGGCAGCCAATTATTGGTAATAACAGCTATCGGTTTTCTTACAAATCAGCTACCGTACAGAGGTGAGCGAATGGGAGAAAGCCCCACCCATTAGCACTGAGGGCGCCATCACACCTAGTTGTAGTTCTTGCAACCCAGCTCATTCTTTTGGGGTGCTGATGAGGACACTTGAGTGGGCAGCTAAGGTCATCGTCTTACAAACAAAAGGTCTGACCAGTTTAGCAACTTCCTCCTCTATTAGATTCCAACCTTCACTGGGCAGCACCCCCCAAATGGGAAGGGACTCACCAAACCCACAACAGTATGTTGCTGTGCTACACAACCCCTATCATCCCCGACCTTGGACTTTGTTGTCTGGGGCTGATGGGAGCTCAGTATGACACCTGGATGGCTCCAACTCAGCCACCCCTTCCTTGAGATTAGCCCCCTACCCTTTTTAAATCGAGTAACCGATATTCATCTGGCAAGGAACAACAGAATGGGAGCAGTGGTTCTGGGGAGTCTATTGTCATTCCATGCTCGCTTCCCACTTTGGGACAACAGCCAGTGTGTGTGGAACTTCCCTTTGCAGCACAGCATCACTGCAGTTCAGGAGCATGAAAACAGGATATTAAAGATGTGAATCAAGCCATGAAAAAAATTACGCAGTGACAATATCTGTAGGACAAGAATGGATGAGAAGAGAGGTGAAATGGGAAGAAGGATCTTAGAGTAATCTGAGCTTGCATATTGCATACGGTTTAATGTCAGTGGGACTAAGCAGTGGTTCAAAACACAGGGTTTGGGGGGTTCTGCTGCTTTTTCCTCTCTGGGGGGTCTGGGCTGAGGTTGCGGCTGCAGAGATGAACGTCTTTTTAATGATCCGACGTCACAAGATGACCATCTTCACAGACGCCAAGGAGTCCAGTACGGTGTATGAGCTGAAAAGAATTGTTGAGGGGATACTTAAGAGACCCCCAGAAGAACAAAGGCTATACAAGGATGACCAACTGTTGGATGACAGCAAAACCCTCGGAGACTGTGGCTTCACCAGCCGGACAGCACGACCTCAGGCCCCAGCAACAGTTGGCTTGGCCTTCAGAGCCAGTGAAGATGCCTTTGAGCCCCTCCGCATTGATCCCTTCTCCAGCCCCCCGGAGCTCCCAGACGTGATGAAGCCCCAGGACTCTGGCAGCAGCGCCAACGAGCAAGCGGTGGAGTGAGAGGCCAGAGGGAGACGGAGCGAGCTGCACAACCTGTGGCGCCCCTTCCCCACCACCCACTCCCTCCCTCAACCCTCCAGCGTGGAGAGAGACATGGCACTGTCCCACCCCTCCAATCCAGCTCCCCCTTTTACTCCACCCCTCTCTATACAAGACCACACCTCCTTCCAAGCACCTCTCCACTCATCAAACAGAGCAATGTTTTCATTTTTGGTTTTGGAAACAATAAAAGTTCTAAAAAAAACAAAAAAAACCAGGGTTTGGCAGCAACATGGGGGGTGGGGAGGTGAGGCACAAGGAGTTCTGCAAGGGCCCTGGTGGAGGTCAGGTGTCAGGAGGCACCTTCGGATGAGCAGAGAGAGTCCAAATAAGGAGAAAGAATGGAGGGGGGAAGGAGCTCCCAGTAAGAAGTCCATAGCCGGCTGGGACCAGCATCTCCCTCAACCACCTACCAGCCTGGCCCCTGAGCTTAAAAACAAGAAGCTCATGGCGTCACTATTACTGAGGAAAGTTCCCAGGTAGGCTGCTTTCTTCAGCGCCTGTTCTTGTGGTTCCCTGCCATCTGCACGAGGCAGGGGAGAGCTGAGGTGGCAGAGCAACAAGTAATAATGCAGCAGGAATAATGAGAAAATCAATGACCAGCTTCACAGTTTTCCCCACATCGTAATTTTTTACGTAGTTCACACACACATTGTGATTCAGGATATATTGCCATGTCAGCTATTATGAAACCATTACCACGATGTGAAGTTCAAACTGGTTTTGGACAATGTGTTAATACATCGCCCAGCCCTAGTGCAGAGTGCCTTCTACCAGCTCTGCTTGGTGGCCCAACTGCACCCCTGTCTGGACAAAGTTAGCCTAACTTATGTTGTCTATGCCTCTAGGTTAGACTACTGCAATGCATTATACTTAGGGCTGCATCTGGAGATGGTTCAAAAATTTCAGCTGGTGCAGAATCTGGTGGCCAGGTTGCTCACTACAACAAGATGGTTTGAGAATATTACACTGATCCTGGTCCGACTGCACTGGCTGCCAGTCAGTTTCTGGGCCCAATACAAAGTGCTGGTTTTGACCTATAAAGCCTTAAATGGCTGCAATACCTCACAGACTACCTCTCCTCATATGAACCGACCCAGACTCTACAATCGTCATCTGAGGCCCTTCCTCATGTGCCTCCTCCACAAGAGGCCTGGGGGGTGACAACACGCGTATGGGTCTTTTCTGTGGTGGTTCCACAGAATGCTCTCCCCATGGAGGCCTGCCTGGCACCTTCCTTACACATATTCAAGCAGAAAACAGAGGCAGTAAAACCTGGCATAGTTACTGTGGTAAAAGTTCCAAAATTATTCATATAGGAACACAAGAATGGCTTGTAAGAGTCATGCAGTCTGAACTGTAGCAACCAGCTCAAAACTGAGCTTCTCTGGTAGCAATAGGCTTGATTACCCTTTTCCCAAGGTGAGAGTGAGTGAACCAGCTAAGCCTGGCAGGAAGCTAACTCTATAGAATTAACCCCTTAATGCATTAATTAGACTTTTAATTAGACTTAAGCATGTTGGTTACAAGATAGCGTTGCCATATTTCAAACAGGGAAAATCTGGACAGAAAAGTTATTGAGCTTTTTTGGGCAAAATTGCATTTATTATTTTTGTGGCTTTTGAGCTTTTTGAATGGAAAATCAGCAAAAACTGCACCGTCGACATGACCTGCTATACAACCGGATTTCCCCCAGCATTTTATTGATTCCCACCCAGATGCTGCTAGAGGCAGCAGTATTCCAGATATGTTGGGGAAAATCCGGATGTATGGCAATGCCAGATGAGGCTCGTTATCCCACAGATTGAAGAGATGTACTTTTGGTACATATTAATGAAATTCTATCAATCCAGAATTATAAAACGGACTCTATGGCAACAGAGCAACCTCTTAGGATGCAGTAAATAGCACTTAAATTGGCCAGCAAAGGAGCTGGTTTGGCTGGTTCAGCAGCCTCTTCTCCTAGATTCTAAGCAGGCCCTTGAAGGGACCCACAAATATCATCCAGACCGCATCCTTCCTCCCCCCCCCAAAAAAAACCCCTCATATCAGTATGCTCAGCTATGTTAAGCTACATAAAAATTTCCGAAGTTTTCTTGACTACGTATCCAGAATAAATGTTTATTTGTTTTCAAAGGGAAACTACTATTCGTAGCTTGTGCCTCCCAGATTTTCCTGAGCCAGCAGAGGTGGTGCAGAAATATGTGGACCTTTCCACTTTCCTCCTCCTTTACCTCTTGCCCCTCCTCATCATTTCCATCACTTACACACGGCTGGCCAAGAAGCTCTGGCTGCACAATGCTGTGGGGGATGTCACCACACAGCAGTACATCATCCATCACAACAACAAGAAGAGAAGCATCAAAATGCTCATGCTGGTGGTGGTGGTTTTTGCCCTCTGTTGGTTCCCGCTCAACTGCTACGTGCTGCTCATCTCCACGATGAACATCAGAACCAAAAACTCTCTCTATTTCGTCCTTCATTGGTTTGCCATGAGCAGCACTTGCTACAATCCTTTCATCTACTGCTGGCTGAATGACAGCTTCCGTTCCGAGCTCAAGTCCTTGTTCGCCATGTGCCTGAAGGCGCAGCAGACGAGAGACAACCTCATTCCAGGGGCAACCTTGCCGTATGGGGAGGCATGGATGCAGCAAATCAAATGCAAGCAAAGGTTTTCTTTACAGAGCATCCGCTCAACCACAAACGTGCAGACTTTCAAAACGGATTTGTGAGCTGGGCCCGATCAAGGTGAGTTGACAAAACGTTTGGCAATCTTCTCTATCATTCAGATGATGGCAGGTTTAATACAGGACTGTTCATTTGCTGAAACAGACCTAGCCCTGGGTTTCTCATACCTTCCTAGTCTGTTTTTGTTGCTAGTATCATATATAACTTATGAATTCTTCCAGAAAGAAAAACAATTGCATCCATAACCATTGCCTCAGTCAGTTCCTACTTTGCAGCCTCCAAAGCAGTGGCTCCATACTTTTGGGCCACCAACCCCTTGGTTCTGGGTGTCACCTTCCCTGTCCTGTAAAAAACATTATTCAGAACAGCAGTCTTCACAACCCACTGAGGAAGGTAGGAGAACCATAAAATTCAAAACTGTAACAATTAATTGCACATTTATTCAAAATGCAATTAAAACTATTTAGTTTAATTAATTCAACAAAACTGATAGACTTGATCCAGTGGTACCAGCTTTCCAAAGCCTGATAGTCATTTGCACCTTCAACAACTACTACTGCCCCCTGCCTCTTAGCGCCCCCTAAGTAACCCACCACCCTCTAGGGGGCAGGACCACCCACTTTGGGAACCACTGGTTTAAAGTGTCATGATATCGCTTTAAATATTCATTGTATTTACTCGAATACACACCTTTTTTTGGCCAAATAACATTGCAAAAATTAGAGTGTGCATTAGATTTGATTGCACCAGCAAATACCGTATTTTTCTGTGTATAAGACAATGCTTTTTGCTAAAAAAAATTAGGCAAAAATTGGGTGTCATCTTAAACACGGATAGTGAATGCAAAGGGGGGATGTGCGATTAATGGCAGCAGCAAGCAGGAGATTGGCAGCAGTGATTGAGTGGGTGATTGGTGGCTGCTGGCAATTAGCTGTAGCTGCAGCAATTGGGCAGGGGATTGGCGGCTGCGGCAAGGGGGCGGGTGGGCTGTCGGTGGCGGCAAGCAGGCAGACAATTGGCGGCTGTGGCGAGGTGTGTGGTCGGCAGTAGCTGTGGCAAGTGATCAGCAGTAGCGGGCTCCCCCCCCCCCCCAAAAAAGCTAAACAAGTTAATTTCTTAATTTGGGGTTTAAAAAAATAGGGGGTGTATTATACATGGAGGCATCTTTTGCACAGCAAAATACAGTACATTTTTGTTTCATGGTTTTGAAAATTGAGGTATGAGTTAGATTTGATATCGCGTAAATATGGTAGTGGTGATGTGTTTTCTTAAAACAAACAAGCAAACAAACTCCCACTACCAAGCAGCAGGTGGCGCTGTTTAACCACATCATTGCACTTTTGTTGTTGGAAATATTTGTTTTTTCTTTTTAATTTTTTTAAATTCATTTTCCCTTTTCATTCATTACATACATCTCATATTCATAACATTTACTATACATTCCTTTCTCCCTCCCCTCCTGGGCTTCCCCCAACTTCCGCTTCTGATTTGTTTCTTCTTTCACCCTTTTTGCTACCTCCTAACTCTCATCTTCTGAGAACAATGGGAGATGCAATCCAGTCCTGCTCATCCAATTAGAAAATGATAACACATTAAAATTAAAAACAGTAACAGTTAAGTAGCGCAATAAAAGTTAAAAACAGTAGCAAATAATTATACAGAATCCAATTAAAACTATTTTGCTTCATTAATTCAACGAAGTTGATAAACCTGATCTACTGATACCAGCTTTTCGAAGACTGATAGCAATTTACACCTCCAGCACCACCCCCTTGCATGTTAAGTGTCCCCAAGGTAATCCCATTGCCCCCAGTGGGCACCACCACCCACTTTGGGAAGCGTTGCTCCAAAGGATTTGAGGTTCATAGATTATAGAACTGTAGAGTTGTAAGGACCCCAAGTATTGTATATTCTACTCCAACCCTCTGCAATGCAGGAATCTCAATTAAAGCATCGATGACCGATGGCCTTCCAACCTCTGCTTTAAAATCTCCAAAGAAGGAGAGTCCACCAACCCCTGAGGGACTCTGCTCCACGGTCAGAAACTCTGATTGTCATAAAGTTCTTCCTTGAACATATTGGTTTGGGTCCTACCCACCAGAACAGGACAAAACAAGCATGCTCCATCTTCTACTTTCCTTACATCCAAGAAGCTGGCTGTCATCCTCTTGGTCTCCCCTTCCCGAGGGTAAACACACCCAACTCCCTCAACCATTCCTCATAAGGCTTAGTTTCCTGACCCTTGATCATCTTGGTCACCCTTCTCTGCACACATCCCCCGCTTGTCAATATTCTTCTTGAGCTAAGGTGCACAGGTGGCTCCAGCAGCTCCCTTCTCCTTCATGTCTCTTGGTCCTACATTCACTGTGAGATAGCACTCTGGGCATCCCTATCAAAATGCCCTCACAAACGCCCCAGTTTACAAGTCCTGGCCACAAGCTCCCAGAGGTTGCAATCGGCTCATTAGAACTGCTCCTAGCAGCTAACTCCTCCCGCAACTCACTTCCTCCTCATAGTGTGGAGGTACAGTGTCAGCACCTGAAATAGATACTTTGTGGTGAAGGAAGAGCAATACTAATAATATTAGTAATCTGCCTTATCCAAAGTCAGACCTCTAGTCCATCTAGCTTACTATTATCTGCACTGACTGGCAGCAGTTCTCCAGGGTTTCAGGTGTGGGGGCACACACACATTCCCAGCCCTACCTGGGACCTTATGCAAGCAAAGCAGATGCTCTGCTACTCAGCTACAGCCCCGATTCCCCTGCAGTATGGATGCTTCAGCCCATATAGGGGAAGTACTAACAAACCTGGTACACTATACTTGAATAAGGCATATGTTAGGGACGCAGGTGGCGCTGTGGGTTAAACCACACAGCCTAGGATTTGCCGACCAGAAGGTCGGCCGTTCGAATCCCCGTGACGGGGTGAGCTCCCGTTGCTCGGTCCCTGCTGCTGCCAACCTAGCAGTTCGAAAGCACATCAAAGTGCAAGTAGATAAATAGGTACTGCTCTGGCGGGAAGGTAAACGGCGTTTCTGTGCGCTGCTCTGGTTCGCCAGAAACGGCTTAGTCATGCTGGCCACATGACCCGGAAGCTGTATGCCGGCTCCCTTGGCCAATAAAGCGAGATGAGCGCTGCAACCCCAGAGTTGGTCACGACTGGACCTAATGGTCAGGGGTCCCTTTACCTTTACCTTTTATGGTATTACGTACTTCCCAGAGATTTGGCTCAATACTGAAGCACTGAACCAGGAAGGCTAAGGGCGCCTCTACACACTCATTTTTGGTTGCTCATTTCTTTCATTTTGCAGGTGCTAAGTCAACCAGCAGATTGTGTACAGGATTTCTCTAGAATTCTTATGTTCCAGTGCCATGGCTTTATTACAGGAAAAAGTTGTGCCAGAGTAAGGAAGATGCCCACATCAACTCCAACAAAGATTGTTTTTATTTTGTGTTCACACAGGTGGGGTGAAGTGGACCTAGATGAAGACGTCAGCAGGAACAAGCTAAAACACACATTTGATTACAATGACAAGGAAGAAAGGGGAGAGAGTCTCTCGAAATTACACCCATTTCGTGGAAAATTATGGAAGTGGAAATTCAAAATGTTTATTTACTTATATTTATATTTAATTAAATTTCTATACTACTCTTCCTCTGAAGATCACAGGGCAATTTAAAAACAATATAAAAATGCTTTGTGTTAGCATTAGAGTCCCCAATCAGGTGCAGTGGTACCTCGGGTTACATACGCTTCAGGTTACATACACTTCAGGTTACAGACTCTGCAAACCTAGAAATAGTACCTCAGGTTAAGAACTTGGCTTCAGGATGAGAACAGAAATCACGTGGCAGCCGCGTGGCAGCAGCGGGAGGCCCCATTAGCTAAAGTGGTGCTTCAGGTTAAGAACAGTTTCAGGTTAAGAACGGACCTCTGGAACAAAATAAGTACGTAACCAGAGGTACCACTGTACTAATGATAGCATTCAAAAATGCAGTTTGGCTGTAGGGACTTTCTCCCCCTCCCCCCCAAAAATCCATATTTCCCCTGTGTTATACTTGACACTTAATCTGGTATACCTCAGGTTTGGCCAGACTACAGAAAATGTACTTAATGGAAAAAATTACAGGCACACCTTGTGGTAATTGACATAAAAGCTAATTAGGTATGTTAAGACCACTCAAAATCAACTGTGGAAATAATGCTGCATTTTCCAGCTATAGAACTTTCATTCAAGCAGCACATTAGACTCTCCTGACTGGAGGGTCTAGAACAGGAGTCAGCAAGGTTTATCTTGCCTGGGCCAGATCGGTCCCGTGGAGATCCCTCCATGGGCCGGATTGCGCGTGTGCGTGACTGCGCACACCCATGATTTCCGGCATCTGTGCATGCGCAGACGCAATTTCTGGCACCGCAGAAGCGAGTCCCCACGCTGGGCATCTTGGTTCAGGGGCGGCTTCTGGGCCGGTCAAACGACCTCTGCGGGCCACTTCCAGCCCATGGGCCTTAGGTTGGTGACCCCTGGTCTAGAAGAAGGGAGAGCAGCTGGCTGGGAGGGAGGGAGAGTGAACCTCTCTTTTGTGATGCGATTATCCCCGTTCCACATATCCTTGGAAATAGACATTACGTTTACATGAATAATGATTTTTCAGCTCTGGGGCATCTCACTTTACACTTGGAGGTTGTGTTATAAGGAAAATTGGGGTTGGCCTTTACAGCCAAAATCTCCATCAAGTGACCCAGTATCCTCTAAGTCCATGATCGGTCAGAGAAGAATGGGTGGAGGCAGAAACCAGTAGAGGAAAGCAAGGGATATCTTTATTTTCTGTTGCAACAGAGTTCCCTCTCCCCTTGCAAGAAGGGAGGACCTGGGACAAAGGTGTGTAACAACTTCAGAATTTCCCCAACCCCTTAGCCAAAGACCACCCACAAGCATCCTACAAGCCTCACAAAAGAAGCAATTTACAACAGAAATTTGAGACTCTGACTTGTCTCCTGTCTGTCAGGATACCTAATAATGCTTGCTGATTGCCTTTTCCTGG